GGACAAAACCAAAGTTACACAGCAGTGGAAGGGGCACGACTGTCCTGCCAGTTACTGTCACTCAACTCTACCCTCCTGCAAGACTCTGGCTGCCAATAGGAAAAGGGGACCAGGAACTAGAGAAAAGGTTAGTCAAAAAGAATTAACCTAGAAGGTAACACCCACACAGGAAATCAATGTGAGTCAATGCCCTGTATAGCTATCCTTATCTCAACCAGCAAAACCCCTTGTTCCTTCCTATTATTGCTTATACTCTCTCTTCAACAAAATTAGAAATAAGGGCAAAATAGTTTCTGCTGGGTATTGGGGGGAGAGGGAGGGGGCGGAGTGGGTGGTAAGGGAGGGGGTGGGGCAGTGGGGAGAAATGACCCAAGCCTTGTATGCACATATGAATAATAAAAGAAAAATGAAAAAAAAAAAAAAAGACTCTGGCTGCCATTAAAAAGTATGTGTTCCTGTGGAAAGGGTATGAGCAGAAGCTATGGATCAGTTCAAACTACAGAGTAGGGTCGTATAAGCAGCTTCCAATTTTTTGGGGGGATAGGGGGGCAATACTAGGGTTTGAACTTGGGTTGTGTGCTTTGAGGCAGGCACTCCTACACACGACCATATCCCCAGCCTCAAACTCGACTGTGACCCACAAGAAGATACATTTTGAAAATGACGCAGTGTATTACACATATATGTGAGTACATATTCACACATACATGTGTATGTGTACAAACGTATACACAATGCAAAAGTCAAAACGCAGTAGCAATGTACAGCTGAGATGTACCTTTCTCCTATTTTTATTTTTAAAAATTATAGAAAAATGTGCTCAATGATTTTAAACACCTAGACAACCACTGCCCGGCTCAACAAATAGCATGTGTGTGTGTGAGGAAAGTTAAGGACTAGAGAGGAGGGGGATAAGGAAATATGATCAAAGCACATTGTATGCATGTATCAAATGTCACAATGAAGACCCTTGCTTCGTAAAATCAATGTATGCTAATTTAAATAATTTTTAAGCCAGGTGCTGGTGGCTCACACCTGTAATCCTAGCTACTCAGGAGGCAGTGATCAGGAGGATCACGGTTCAAAGCCAGCCCCAGGCAAATAGTTCACAAGACCGTATTTCCAAAAAACCCATCACAAAAAAGGGCTGGTGGAGTGGTTCAAGGTGTAGGCCCTGAGGTCAAGCCCCAGTACCACAAAAAAAATTAATAATAATAATTTTTAAAGACTAGATAGAGTACGTGCAGCATCAGAGGAGACCTTGGATCTCCTGATCAGAAGCCTCTGCCCCTACCCCAGGTCATCACTCCTCACACCATCACTCCTGTGCTTTGCACTCTCACACCTCCCTATGCAGTTCACACCTATAATTCCAGCTACTCGGGAGGTGGAAACCAAGGGGACTGAAGCTTGAAGCCAGCCCAGGTAAAAAATTATTGAGACCCCCCATCTCAACCAAGACAGGTGTGGTGGTGCCCATCTGTCATACCAGCTACATGGGAGGCATAGGTAAGAGTATGGAGGTTCAACCCCTACCCCAGGCAAAACCACAGAGCCTACCTGAAAAATAACTAAGGCAGAAAAGGGAAGGGGCTGTGGCTCAAGTGGTAGAGCACCTGCCTAGCAAGTGTGAAGCCCTGAGTTCAAACCCCAATATCTCCAAAAAGAAAAAAAGACTCAAAATGGTCGTGGAGAGCTGATGAGAGACCATTATAGTGCATTGACAAGCAAATTCGGTTGTTTTGTGACCTGCAACATTTAAAGATAACTAGTTATGACTGATAATATACCAAAACTTACATTTTGGGAACTTTGCACAATTTCTGGGACTCTAACATATAACTCAAAGAAATCTCGACATCTTTCTAACTTGACAATGCCTCCCATGCAAATTTAACACATCGAATAAGCCTAATTACCATTGCTTTGTATAAGGAAAGGGAAGAAATTCTTTTGCAATACACAGGGGCTCCTGGAAACATCCTAAGTTATCTCTGACAGATCAAGAAGACTTCACTTAGAACCTGCTGGGGAGGCTTGTCAGCATCACCAAATATTTAAGACACTTGGTCAAAACACCAGTCACTATGAAACAAGTCACCAAGCAGCATGGTATACAGGGTGAGGGCCGGGAGCCACACTTTTAGAGAAAGACTGAGGTGTTTTAACAAAGACTTAGTTTCTTAAATAATCAACAACCAAGTCATATGAAGCTTGGGACCCTGTTCTGATAAAACATGGAATTTTTGTTTCCTATGTGAGTTACTTAGAAGATAAAGAAAAATCTTTCATAATCTTATCAAAAGCAGTCCAAAAGCAGTCTCCAAGCAAGCTTTGTACCAATATAATTTTGACATTAAGGCTCATCTTTCAAATAGATCCACTGAGAGCTTAGCCAGCTGGACCACACATGAAATTCCTTTTATGAGATGAACATTCTACAACTTCTTACATCCAATCAGTCTCCCATACCATTCCTTTCTCCCAGCGTGAAACAACCGGTCATCCACCTTGGCGGGAAAACTTACTGTTTCCCTTCACGAAAGCACATCCGTCTTACCTTCCAGCTTTCCTTACAAACCACCTTTCCTTCCCTGCATACAGACTGTTTCCCCTACTATCCATAGGGTGTTTTTTTGTTTGTTTTGCAGTACTGGGTTTTGAGTTCAGGGCTTTGCGATTGCTAGGCAGGTGCTCTACCCCTTGAGCCACACTCCCAGCCCTTTTTTGGCTTTAGGTTTTTTTTGTTTTATAGAGTTTGAACTCAGGCTTGAGGCCTCACACTTGCTAGGCAGGCACTCTTACCACTTGAGCCACTCCACCAGCTGTTTTGTGCTGGGTATTTTCAAGACAGGGTCTCACAAACTATTTGCCCGGGGGTAACTTCAAACCGCAATCCTCCTGATCTCTGCCTCAAAATAGCTAGGATTACAGGCACGAGCCACTGGCACCCAGCTTATTTATTTTTTGAATAGTGCCTCGTGTTTGTGCCTGGTGCCGACTGGACCACAGTCCTCCTGTTTACGCTTCCTGTGTAGCGAAGATGACAAAAGCACACCACCATACCCAGCTACTGGTTCAAATGGGGCCTCATAAACTTTTCCACCAGGGCTCCCCAGAAACTCAATCCTCCAAATTTCTGCCTCCCAAGTAGCTGGGATTACAGTTGTGAGTCACCACGCCCAGCTATTATCTGCAGTCTTAATTACCATGTATTAATTCAGATTCTTAACTCTGTATCTCTACTGTTTACAACCATGTGCTTTCCCATAGCACAATCTTTCAATGTGGCCAGGACATGCTTGCTGACAGACCCCAGATGTCTTCAGATCTTCTGTGATAAAAAGCCCAAAGTGGGTAACTTACGTTTGACAGCCAGTGCTTCAGTATGCTATCTTATGTGCAAATGATCTAGATAGCCAATAAATACTCACTATTCAAATTAACTTAGCAAAACTCTCAGGGTGTGATATACCAAATAGATTTGGAGAACTATTTTTTTAAATAGTTCAGTGTATTTAAAAATCATTAAGTAGAACATAAAACCTAATTTGTACCTAGTTCCAGAGAACGGACTTAACTGTTGGTATTTAACAAAAACAGCTTCCCAAGGCACTTAAGAGAAAAGGGCATAGCCCTCATATTAAGCAAATAAAACTCACATTTCAAGCAGATTACACAAAAATTTATTTATATCCATTTTTTCATATTTAGAAAGTACAGATTTAACAAAAGGTAGCCATATCCTTTCTATGTATGAATCTCAAGTATAATTATACAAACAACAAAATTGTGAGTCGGGTACCTGAAAATTCTAGTGTTTAACTCACAAACCTTAAGCCACTGAATTGAATTAGGATCAAAGAGGGTTAAAAGTAAAGGAGCTACTTCCACATTCCAGATAAAGGGAAGAACAAATACATTAAGTTTAACAACAGTAGGTTTAACTCAAAATTTTTCAAGCTTTAACGTTTTTAAGTAGACATAACACAAAACAAAGACGGCCATGATCAAGTTACATCTCTGTAGCTCTTTTTATTGAATGTATGTTAGGCGATCATCATAAAAGCAAGAATTTTTGAAAAGTTAAATTCAATGTTTGGTTGGTTGGGTTTTTGCAATGCTGGGGATCAAACTCAGAGCCTTGTGCATACTAAGCAAACACTCTACCTCTGAGCCACACCTCAGCAGAACACCAGGTGTTTGTTTCACACTTGCTGGATGTCCACAAAGCAAGAGGTACTGCACTTCCTCTTTATGTAGTTTTGAAACGATTCCAAAATTGGCTATGCAAATGGAGTGCAATCCGCGTCCCTGCAGGAACATGACATCACACCTTATCAGATTACATGCAATGGACTCGGGTATATGGAAACCCAAATAATTCTGTGGACACACTGAAAGCGCTAAAGTTGGGCTGCTAGCCTGAAGGTTCTGCAACCAGTCTGCACCTCTCCCTGTGTGTTGCCACAGGTCTGCTGAGTGGGCCACACCATCTCTCTTAAGAACTTCTTGTAGAAAGTTCAACTACATTCTACATCTCTCCTGAAAACTTGTAGAAAAGTCCACCTGGACTTCAAACAGACTCTGAATCTCAGAGTCCTGCTTCCATCCATGAGACTGTCGTGGCTAGACTCTGCGTGAAATGGAGCTCACTCTGCGGTTCATCTACTGAGTGTACTCCCTGTGACATTTGCTCTCCTTATCCCCCCCTCTTTGAGCACTGTGCAGAAAATAAAGTTCTTTTGTATGGCAATAACTCCATGATTTGTGAAAATCATATTTTGGCCATATAAAACACACCTGCATGTTTGTTCTCAAATTGAACTCATACTTCTTTAATCTTCACCATCTACTGGATAATAGAAGCTTATTTGAGAGGCAAACCCAAGTAGAATGAAATTGCGTGTGCATTTATATTTAATGTTGACAACTCTGAAAGCATGTCTATTTCCACTAAGTTTACAATTTTAAACTAGCTTTTATTTACTGACGGTCATTCCAGATAATGTGAATTTTGGGTTAGTGCCTCTGAGAATTTAAGGAACACAGATGCTTCTCAACCTTTGATGAGGTTACAGCCCAATAAAGCCATCATAAGTTGAAAATCTTGTAAGCTGAAAAACACAGTTAATAACACCTACCAACTGAATATCACAGCTCTGCAAAATAACTGGCTGGAAACCATCCTTCAGCCAGAGAGGCATATTTTAACTAGATAGGCAGCTTCCCCATCCAGTGTGGGCTTTGACTAGATTGCTGAGTTAGATGGCTGCCCGCAAAAGTTGTCAGGAATCAGCATGGATAGATAAAGACCAGCTCATCCTATTTGTCTCAAGATCAAAGGACCGACCAGTTAGGTCTTGTGACCATCTCTTCCTGACCATGCTGTTTTGCAGAGAAGAATTTACTCCCAAGGCAGCCAATAGTGTGAATGTGGAGCATCCCCCAAGGACAGGGTCCAGGGCAATTTATGGTATAAAGAAGGGGTCTAAGTGTGAGGAATGGTGGCACACGAGTGCCTAATTGAACTTGTGTCTCCTTGTAGGATACTTATTCAGAAAATGGCAGCTCTGAGGGTGGAGTTTGGTCTCCTGATATCAAAGATCAGATACCTGTGCAGGCCCAAGTGAAGGGTTGGTGGTTTCCACTGGTTTGAGCTACCTCCAACTTCCCAAGAAACAACATAGGCAACCACTACTATCATGGCCCACACATCGGAGGTTCTATCTGTAGCAAAGCTAACAGAGTCCACTGCTTAGCTAGGAGACTCCACAATTGGTGACAAAAGCAAGGGGTTGCTGGAGGGTTCACTCAGGTTTTTCCCCAGCTTCACTAGATCCGTAATTCTACACATCAATTGGACAGTTTCACACAGAGAAGAGGAACAACTTGAATCCAGATGAATCCATGATTCCTTCTTTTTTTTTTTCTTTTGTGGAATTGTTGTTTGAACTCAGGGCTTCACACTTGCAAAGCAGACACTCTACTTCTTGGGCACACAGCCAGTCTGTTTTTGCTCTGGTTATTTTGGAGATGGGGGGGGGGTGTCTCATGAACTATTTGTCTGAGGCTGGCCTGGAAATGAAACTCACCCAACCTCAACTTCCCAAGTAGCTAGGATGGGCACGAACCACCAGCATCTGGCTGACTCCATGTTACCTACTAGAGGCCTCCTATTGGACCCAGCCCAGTTACTAGCGGCCTCATACTGGACCCAGGAGAGTTTCTGTTGAGACTCCCATATACTATTCAGTTCAAAAATGCTCAAATTCATAGAACTCGACACAGGTATCTGCCAGTGGTGACCTCCAAATGCACAGCAGGAAAACAGTGACTATGAAGGGCTCAGTGTGGAAGAAGGTTCTTGGTGTGCTGACAGCCAGCTTGTCTGAATCCAGTGATATATCCTCAGGCAACAAGTTTCACAATGTGCATTTATTACCTACAAATAGGCAGAAAAGGACAGCGGAAGCCTAGCTCTCATTGTGAGCCACTCTGCCAAGGCTCAGAAAGATGGAGTCTTGATTGTGCACTGCACCACAAATATGAAGTCACAAAAAGCAGCCTGCCCCAGGTCATAAACCTTGGGGTCACATGAGTCACTGAGATGAAATGTTAAAGGATATCCAGCTTCTAGGGGAGAGTGCAGAGCTCAGGCTATTCTAGTCAGCCTTTCTGTATCTGTGTGATGCATTCCTGGTACATTCTACACTTAATCTTGAGAAAAATCTTGGAGAAATGAGTCACTCCAAGACTCATTTCCAGAGAACTCTCATGCATAATGAGTACGTATACCTGTTTATCCATTCTTCCAAGGGTTGACATGGCAGGGGGTGACCTCAGACCCCACTTCCGACACCACAACTGTTAAAAGAAAGACTTTAAACCAGGCACAGTGGCTCACACTTGTAATCCCAGCTAGTTGGGATGCCACAGTTAGGATTGTGGCCTGAGGCTGGCCCCCAGCAAAAGCATGATACCCTACCTAAAAAGTAGCTAAAACAACAAAGGCTGATGGTATGCTTTAAGTGGAGCATGCCTGCCTAGCCAAGTGTGAGGCCCTGAGTTCAAACCAGCGTACTGTGAAAAAAAGAAAAACGTCAAAGTAAGTTTACCAGAGTTTATGTGAGCAAATAGTAATTCATGAATCAAGCAACACTCAAAACTGGAAGCTTCAGAGAGCTCAGTTCTGCAACATGAGCCCCAAGTTTTTACAGAACCAACACAGAACAAAGCAGAGAAATTACTTGACTGACTACAGCTAGATGCTTGCCTTATTTGGGTGGGATCCAGCAGAATGTTCCAAGTTAGAGGTTAGCTGGGACTTTGCTCTTTCTTCTTCCTTTCCTTTCCCCTTTCTTTCTCCTCCCCTCTCCTCTCCTTTCCTCTTCTCTTCACTCTCCTCCCCTTCCCTCTCTCTCTCTGGCAGTACTGGGGTTTGAACTCAAGGCCTCACACTTGCTAGGTAAGCACTCTACAGCCTGAGTCACACTCCCTGGCCTTAGTTGGAAGTTTCCGACTGGTTCTCTTTTGTTTTACTGATTGTATTGAATTGGGTTTTGGTTTGCTTATGCAGAAGCTCCAGTTAGAGACAACTTCTGGCTTATGACCTCCTCCTTGTTCCCTTCAACAACCTACCCCTTGAACACAAGGGAAAGATGGAGGAAGCTCAGCACCCCAACAGACCACAGATGTCTAGAGGCATCCTACATGGAATTTATCCAGCAACCAAGACACGGTATATCCTCCTCAATGACAGCAGGGCAGCCTTGTAGACAGGGAGGCCATGCTTAGCTGCCGGCCCACTCATTCTACAAGTATCAATCAATATTTGGCCCACTGTGTACTGGGCATTATTCTAGGTACTGGGGACACAACAAACCCAGAAAATTCCCTGTTCTCCTGAAGCTAATCCTAGTGGGGTGCTGCACATATGATGTAATGAGAAGTGGTACTGAATTCTACAAAACCAAACAGGCAGAGTCACTTGAGCAACTAGTGAGGGGAATCTCTAGACAATGTGGTAAGATGCAACTAAAATGAGGAAGGGATAACTGAGTTAAACGTAGGTGAGGAGGCTGTCAAACGAATAGACAGCAGCGTGAGCCTACCGGGAAACCAGAAGAACAAAGGTCATTTGGTAGGAAATGCTTATTGCTCAATTTTCAAAAAACTGCTAACATTTGTCTTAGTGTGTTTTCTGTTGCTATAGCAACATACCTGAGGTTTATTTAGTTCACAGTTCTTGAGCCTGGGAAGTCCAAGGGTCAGGCGCCAGCATGTTGAGGTCCTTCTTGCTGCTTCAAATATGGCAGAGGGCATCACAGCATGCTTGGGAGAGTTCACTATTATAACAAACCCACTCCCTCAGTAAGTCAGTAACCCACAAATTCATAAATCTACAAAAGGAATAATCCATTTGTGAGGGCAGGCCCAGTCACCTCTCAAAGGTCTTACCTCCAATACCACTAACCGAGTTACCAACCCGTAAAATCTGGGGGGCACACAAACCACAGCAACGTTCATACGCACCATCTCATTTCAACCCTACTAGCAGAAAGATGTCACTGGCTCGTGGAAAAGGGATCCTAGGCACAGAAACAAGAATTCCTTTTCAGTGATGGGCAGACATTCGGGGATCGACGTCAGGCATGATGGTGTACACACATTATGTGATCCCAGCTAGGCGGGGCGGTCGCAAGCTCGAGGTCAGCTCGGGATCCCTATCAAGACCCTCTCTCAAAATTAAAAGCAACTAAATAAGGAATGGTGGTGCAGCTCGTTCTCGAGTGCTTGCCCAGCTTGCAAGATGGACGCCTAAGAAGTTGGGGGCTTTGGCACTGTGTCCACCAACCCTCTCACCTGAAACTCCCGGACCTGAAAGCCACAGGTGAGAAAAAGCTGCAGCCCAGGAGGCTACATCCACCAAAACTGACACCGCAACTGGGCGCAGTCTCAAAACTGGGTCCACCTGTCACCTCCTCACCAGGGTCCCAGCGCCGCAAATCTCACCACCTGCGAGCGTGCACAGCTCGCAAGTCTTGAAAACACACAAGCAGGCGGCGGTGGGCCAAGACCCCCTCCTGACCTAGAGCTTGACGCCGCCAGGTGACAGGATGGACGCGGGTGGAGTCGCCCAGGTCCCTCCAGGACGCCAGAGTAGCCCTACAGGCCACAGCGGAAGTCGGCGCCTGGTTCCACGCCGCACTTTCGCCACGTTCTCGACAGCCGCCCTAGAAAACAGCCGTAAAAACGAAGAGTCACCCTCGTACAGAAATGCCGATCGTGGAGACTCAAGCGAACGCGAAACCTAAGGTCTATGTATTTTTCCAGAGGCTCAACCAGTCCCCGAGGCGTGGCGAATCTGCCGCCACCCTCACCGGAAGTGCGTCCCTCCTGCCGGAAGTTGCGCTTCCTCCATTTTGTGGCCCGCTATGGCGGCGGTGTTGAGGTTGCGGGCGGGATGCGGCGCCTTTGACTGAGCGGGTAGGCCAGGCGAGGCATCGGGGACGTCGCGCGGCTCAGTAGAGGACCGGTCCGGACGCCGGGGACGCTGTCATGTACGGCGCGGGCGGGGGCCGCGCCAAACCGGAGAGGAAAGGCGTCGCGAAGGAGGAGGCCGGGCCCGGCGGCGCAGGCAGTGGGGGCAGCCGGGTGGAGCTGCTGGTTTTCGGCTATGCCTGCAAGCTGTTCCGGGACGACGAGCGGGCCCTGGCCCAGGAACAGGGACAGCACCTCATCCCCTGGATGGGGGATCCCAAGATCCTCATCGACAGGTCGGTTCCAACCCCTACCCGCCGACCCTCCCGTCCCTCGCCCGCTCGATTCCGCCTGGTGTTGACTTTTGATGGCCAGGACCGAAAGGGGGGTTTCGGGGACCCGGCCGGGGCGGGGAGGGCGGAGGGGCCCCACGTCCCCCGGCGTTCGTGGGAAGGGGACGATGAAACCCGCCCTAAGGCTTGGGCTTGGAGCTGGCGCCGCGCCTGCCGCCGGAGGGACCGACTCTGCCCCCGCGGACCCCGGACCGGGGCTCCCGACCGCGCCGCGGGGCCCCGCTGCCCCCCCCCACCCCACCCCACCCCACTCGCCGCCCGCTTGCGGGAGGGAGCCCGGGAGCGCGCTTTTGTCCTCCGAACCGCCGCACGCCGAGGCCCCGGGTGGAAGCCGCGAGGGAGCCGGAACCTTTGACGCCCCGCGAGCCCCTCCCCGCCATAGCATCGCCAGCTGGGGGAGGGAGGGGGCGGGGGCGGAGCTGACCCCGCGCGACCCCTGACCTTGCTCCCCAGGGGTAGCGATTTTAGGGCTGGTTTCGCTGTCTTCCTAAACCTGAAGGGTGGAACCGGGCTGCCAATGTGTTGCTTCCTTTTCAAATCATGCCTGCTTTAGGGAATTACCCTGAGGGTGCCCAGCCTTGGTGGGCCGAGGGGACGGCTAGGGGATCTCTAAAGGTGTCTGATTTGAAAAAGATGACGCTACGTGGTGTAGGATGTTTGCTCCCAACCCCCACCCCGTCCATTACTTTCTTTAAGCCCCCTTTTCCTCCCCCTCTTCCCTGGGTTTTGGGATTTTTGGGGGGGGGAGGGGGGTTAGCCGGCATTGGGCAACATTGCTTCTGGGGCCTGGACTGCAGTGCTAACCGTGACCTACCATTAAGCTGTGGAATGTAGTCTCTCCGAGTGAAAGAAGCCCATCGTTTGAAAGGAGTAAACTGGATCTGCAAAAGCCCTGGAACATGACTGTAGGGATGGCCTCAGACTGGCCAGAATGGACACGTTAATGATCACTAGACCTTTTGCCATCCCTGATGGTTCCGTTTGGAGTAGATATAGGAAACACAGACTCCGGAAGGGAGTGTTGCACATCAGATCGGCTCTGGATCTGGCAGTCCACACTCTGCTCACTCAGATGTGCTGTGCCCTTGAACCACTGTCTAGCCAGTGATGTTGCCTGAGATAGTGGGCTTGCTTTCCAAAGTGTTATCGCGACCAGTATTATTAAAGATAGGTGAGCACTGAAGAAGTCTGAGCTCTTTCTACAGTGTCTATGCCACTCTGTACCTGATTTGAGTTAGGTCTCCCAAAACTGGTGGGGAACAAACGTTACACATGTACGTGTGTAATGTTTTTAAATAATCCACATTTGTAAGTTAAGGAGGTTTACGTCAAAGTGAAACTAGTTTTAAAATTTAATAAACGCAATGCCTTGGGTTCCCTAGAATTTTTAAGCCTTTTTTTTCCCCCGCATTAATTTGGTCTCCATTACAAAAGTCAGCATTAATAAGTTAAGCAGACTTTTGTTTGTCAAGTGCTACATTGTTTTTATGACCCTAAATCTGAGTGTTTAAAGTAAAACCTACTAACTCACTCATTTATTATCTGACAGCATCTTCATGGAATCTTTCATTTTAAAAGCACAGCAGCCAGCACTCTTCTTATTAATTTAGTAAAGTAACTATTGGTCCATGCAAGAGAAGCATGGACGTGTCTTCATTTGTGTTATTTCCTGGGATAGAAAGTTCAGAAGGAAAGCTAATTCTGCTCTTCTTATGATTTTGCCCTGTTTCCGGCGGACCTCCTTAAACTGCATGTCTATGTCACTGTTCCTATGTTCCTATGCATGTGTGTCTCTCTGCCACATAACCCAGCACTTATTTCCTCAGCCAAGGGGCTAGGGGCGAGCCTAGCCAAGATTTTACCTCCAATGGACGCAAGTTTCTTTGGTGAAGATCTCCTGAGAGTTCGGGACTAGCAGAAAGAAGCGAGGAAATTTCCACCGTTTGGTTCTTACGGATAGGTATTTATGTATTCGGTTTGTGTGAATGTAAGCTATGATATTTAACTTTTCAGAAAAAAATTACTTTTTTTTGCAAGTGGCATTGAGTGGTTGACCAAACCATACATGGTAAGAACTGCTAGGGAGGTGAATGCCGTTTATACTTTAGAGGGTTTTCTGCCTTTAATTCTAAGTTTTATTGTGCTGGAGAAAGGAGTTTAGATTTGTTAAGTTAATTTGAGTTTAACAGTAGGTGAGATATGATTAGCCACGTTAAATATGTCTGAAAAAGTTGTACATTTATTTGTTTTAATATTTTTCTTATTTTAATTGGTAAGTATGTGTATAGAGTGTCACACACCATCAGCCTGGGCGGTGACTTCTATCTGCTGACCAGCGTGTTCGCATTACAGATACGATGGGCGTGGTCACCTGCATGACCTCTCCGCGTACGATGCTGAGTATGCCACATGGAACCGAGACTACCAGCTGTCTGAAGAGGAGGCGCGCATAGAGGCGCTGTGTGATGAAGAGAGGTATTTAGCCTTGCATACGGACTTGCTTGAGGAAGAGGCAAGGCAAGGTACTGCTCAAGAAAGACTTCCTTCAGCCACAACTTGAAAGTTTTTAAGTATTGAAAAATTTACTCCCATTCATTTTTTTATACTCACTCTTTCTGATATTATCTTGACAGTACCCAGTGGATTGGAAAAACAGGAGTCTTTGCGTTCTGAGAGGACCTCAGGATAGTTTATATATAGAGCCACAAAGAATTTTCCCAGCTTTTGAGGGCATACTGGGATTTGAAAAAAACAAAAACCAAACTCTTTAACTGTTCTTCTTTAACAGTATCGTATGAATTAAAATTGGTGTTCTTGTCTTTGCCTTAACAGTCTTTAATATAGTTCTTAATCCCAAAATTTTCTCAGCAGGAAGAAATTTTCCATAAAACACGTGTATTCTGCTGTCAATGGGTAACCATGTACTCGAAAAAGTACATATCAATAGATACAAAGTGTGCGTTTTCAGAAACATTTTCACCTCAAGAAGAGGTTGAAAAACGTGTGTCATATGCTTTACTGATAGCTACAACTTTAGAAATGTGTAAAATTTTTTCTCAGTAAACTTCCATTTTCGTTAATAAAAATCTCATTTTTGTTCAAGAGGAAGAATACAAGCGATTGAGTGAAGCGCTGGCGGAAGATGGGAACTACAGTGCTGTAGGCTTCACTTACGGCAGTGACTATTATGACCCGTCAGAGCCGACGGAGGAGGAGGAGCCTTCCAAACAGAGAGGTGATGGCAGAGACGTCTGTGGTGCTGCAGATGCTGACTGTAGCATCACCTTGACTTTAGTGGGGCTCCTTTTAGTGGGATGAAGCTAGGAACAGAAAATGAATTGCTAATGGAGGCAGAAGTGGATTCCCATCTTCCTTACACTGGAGCCAAGTGACCTCCTACTCCTCTTTGATTTAGGTCCAGCTTGAAATCATGCTCTTAGATACTTCCAGAGATTCTTCCTGGGGCATTGAGAGGCTAGGCATTGCTGAAATACATTAATGCCCCCATTTCCTCACTTCCTCATATCCCTCCCCAGCTGAAATAACGGCCATCATCCAGTAGAAAGACATCCGTGGAGTTTACCATTGGTATTCAGAAAGCAGTGCAAGACTGTTAATGTCTTATTAAAAGTTTTAAATCTGTGCTTTTTTGGACTAACTCTGAGAACTTTGAATATAAAACTAGTACTATAAAAAAAATCCAAGCTCATACAGTAGAGTAGGAATGTCCCTTGCATTGCTGAAATACATTAATGCCCCCTTTTCCTCACTTCCTCATATCCCTCCCCAGCTGAAATAACGGCCATCATCCAGTAGAAGGACATCCGTGGAGTTTACCATTGGTATTCAGAAAGCAGTGCAAGACTGTTAATGTCTTATTAAAAGTTCTAAATCTGTGGTTTTTTGGACTAACTCTGGGAACTTTGAATATAAAACTAGTACTATAAAAAAATCCAAGCTCGTACAGTGGAGTGGGAATGTCCTTTCGTGTAAGGTAACAGATGATTGTGACAGCCCCACATGCGGCTTAGTGTTGTCAGCAGCACAGATGTGAGCCTGACACATGCAGGATGTGGGTCTCTTCCATACAGGACATCCTGTTTGAACTTTTAACTTTAGGAAGCCATTCAGATATTTGGAAGAGCAAACTGGATCACACCCTACAGTGACTTGTTATTGGAGCCAACTTGATCTGTTATTGGGGTTTAATTGGTTCCTCCTCAAGTAACAAGTATGAAATGTCTTAGCAGCTTTATTTTAAGACAAAATACTGTCCATCCTTCTGTCCTGCAGCTTCAGGAAGGACCTCCCTACCTCTGTTGTGGTGGCATCAGAACAGCAGGTGTGGGGCAAACTGCACATGTGCAGGCTTTCCTTCTGCCTTCCCACCCATTGCACTCACATCTTGTGGGCAAAAGAATCCCCTGCACGGCTGCTTTGTGAGCTCACAGAGAGGCTTTCTGAGTGCAGTTTTATTCTTACTAAGTCGAAGGCTAGTTGAAGAACTTGTTACTTTCTGCGTTCACTTTTGAACTAACTGGCCCTCAGAGGTTAAGGTGCTATGGACATATTACAGATCTAAGAAGTAAACACCCATTTATTTATCCAGAATAAGTTATCCCTTTGGGGGTTCCGTTGTGTTTAGATCACATACGTTATTTCTGCTTATATCCTTTGTGTTTTTTATCAGAAGGAAGGAATATATACTGTCAACATTTCACAGCTGAAGAATTGAAATATAAAGGGCTCAACATGTCTTATTCAGTAGTTAGCAACAAACTTTAGAAAGGTCTGTTAACTTCCTAGTATTCTGGGTTAGGCATGGGCAAGCCATGACTGCAGGGCCGGTTGTAAATAAAGTTTTATTGGAACATAGCTATGCTCTTTTGTGTTGTCTGGTGCAGGTCTGTTCTTCAGCAGCAGGGTTGAGTGGCTGAGACACCCTGTGACCCACAGTTGACAGTGCCTAATATCTGGTGGTTCATATCATCCACCCTGTTCTAGATGCTGAATCGTTGTCTCAGCATAACTGTTGGACTGAGTGACAGCAAACTTAGTTATAATTACTGAAATTTGAGAATATCAGTGTGACTTAGTTTATCTTCTAAGTATTTGTATGCTTTCTCTTAAAGCTCTCTTTAGTATGTTATTCTTTTCTTTCTAAAACCATGTTCTCAAAACTTTGTCTTACATGCTACTTTTTATGGAAATTGGGCTCATAAAACTTACAGCTTGACATTTTATGGTTTAACTTGCACTAAAATAAAACACCACACACGTTCACTGTGGTACCTAATACCACTGAGAGCTAAATTCAGTGTTACTTTTTTTTTTTGGTACCAGAGCTAGGTAAGTGCTCTACCACTTATTCCATGGCTGCAGCCCTTTTTGCTTTAATTTGTTTTTCAGATGGGGACATTGTTCTGAAGGTTTTATTTGTTTGTTTTTTAACAGAAAAGGTTGAGACTGAAAGTTTGGAGGAAAACGAGGAACCGTTCATTGCTCCTTTAGGACTGAATGTCCCATCTGACGTGGAACTGGTATGTGTGTCTCTTCATCATTACTGTTTGTTACTCTTGATGCTGCATGTGTGAGAGTGCAGTAATAATTGCAGCAGCTGTTCAGGCACCTTGTGCTGTAAGGTTATCTTTGAGTTAGTAGGGGAAAGCTTGTACCCCACTTGCTTTCCTCTGAAAGAGGAAAAAGTATAGCAAAATTACGAGGCTGGTGCATCAGAGACTTGAGTTGGATCTGTTTGGGAGGGTTATGAGTCCCCACATTTTACCAGCATGAACAGCCACATCAGAACCAGGGGTGTGTGTGTTGTCATCCACATGCAAACCAAAATCAGTGACACTCAGGACAGCCTTGCGCACAGCAAACTGCCTTATTCTGCTTTGCCCAGTCTGAGTTTTGCGGACACACATTTTGTGTCCCTCTGACACGTCCAGCCCACCCTTGCACCAGCAAGAAAAGCCCAAGTGGAGCTCCATCTGTCAAGTGCTTGCCTTTGGTTGCTGTTGGGCTGAGTCTTCAGTGCAGGCCAGATGTCACCACACGGTTTCAGTTCATCTTGTTAAATTACAGCAGTGGTTAAAGCCAAAGTTGAGACTTCTCTCTTCTGAATGTTCAGTTAGGGGTTCCAGGATTCTAGACCCTGTGCTGAGCTGCTTTTTTATGTTCCCTCCCCCTTACAGTGAGGAGTCTGAGACTTGGGAAAGTCCAGACTTCGGTTAATAAATGGCAGGCAGGAACTCAAGACTACGGTCTTAGCTATTCTGCCTTCTTGAGTCACCATGCTTTATGGGGGTTTATGTTTATCAGGGATGATCAAAATATTCTTATTTCAGGCACATACTTGGGAAGGGTTCCCAAGTGTTCATGCTCAGCAAAAAGGTTTTTCTCTGACATTGTCCTAATTAGATTACTCATGCCAGAGGTGCAGGTGTCCCAGGTTCTTGTTTGTGTCCCATGTACTGAATCTCCAGTGCTGTACTGTAGGTGCTGCAGAACCACTTCCAGACAGTGTCTGACGTCTGTCCCCCTCCTCAGCTGTCTCCTCAGCTCTGTGTGGATTTGGTGGCTCTTGGCCTGTTCATCCTGACCTGCATGGTGTGATGAAGGAGATACTAAAGTAGCCCTTTTAGTTCCTTCTCACTTAGCCATCTACATGTCTCTGTCTCTTCCTCTTTTTCCTTACAAATATGAGTAAAAATTTCTTTGGGTTTTGCCTGGTTAATTACTATTTATATTTGCTTCTCCGTTTCCAATTTTATATTATCATTAAAGCTGAAAATACTATCTGAAGATTTGGTGTCTTAAGTCTTGTATTAATATATGTTCTGTGTATTGGAACATAATTGTTCTGAAATAGGCTACTCTGTATGAGAGACCCATTGAAATGAAGCCTTAAAAATCACATTTGCTCCTTACCTATATTTCATGCTAAAATTCACAGAAATTTTTTCAGTTTCTACACAAATAAAGATACCATAGAATTTTGTTGATTTAATTCCCATTATAATATTTAATGGCTATGTATTCTCAGCCAAAATAAACATCACTAAGGTATTCAATAGTCTACTTGCCACCCAGTGGAGAGCTAAAGGAGCCAGTTGTGTAGGGATTTGCCCTCAGTGTTAGAAGAGGTCCCTGAATAGAGAGGCACTGGGAGAGTCTGGAAGCCTGCCTAGCCCAAGGTTGAGTCTCTGGTTTGCCTGCTCTGTTTCCTCTGGTGTCCATGTCAGTGGGAACATTGGTGACTAAACTTGGGATGGGCTGGCTTGACTTACATGGACTGGCACTGCTGTAGTGGACCAGGGAAGGCCGAGTGGGGTGACTGGTTAATAAAGTGGGTACTTGAGGGAGCTTTTGGTTTGAACTAGATATAGAGTGATAACCTCATGAAGATGTAGTACCTGCGGCCTCTACTTTTCTCCTACTCGATACCCGTAGGTACTCGATTACCTCCACTGTAATAGAGCCAGCCCATGCTAACCACGCCTGTACAGCGATCTGACACCTTTAGCTTCAGCTTTGTATAGTGATTCCATGAGTATGTGTTTCAGTCCTGCAGAAAGTAGAAATCTCTTTTCCTCCACATGTGGCTACCCATCATGTGTCCTGACATGATACATTCAGTCATCCACCCTTCTCTTGGACCTGAAGCCTGTCTGTCCTGTCCTGAGTTCCCCACATGCAGGCCAATGGCCTGTCCGCCTTTCCCCTCTGTGTGGATGCCATGCTGGAACCATCCAGCACTTTCAAGTGGTAGAGGGTGGAGAGTCAGTGACTCTGCCCACCCCCTTTCTCACCTGCCTCACTCTTGAGACACCACAGGTGGCAGAGATGGAGTGTGAGCCATGATCGATGTCTACTAGGTGCCCAGTCATGTAGACCTGCCTGTTGTCTAGCACTGGATTTTATGTGATTCCCCAGAGCCATTGGTCAGGCATAGGGCCAGAAGTCCTGCTTAGTAAGCCCATTGGAACGTGTTTCTGAGAGACTGCATCTTTGTTTTCTTTTAGCAAGACCGAGGTTTGAACTCAGGGCCTTCTGCTTGCTAAATAGGCACTTTATCACTGGAGCCACTCTGCCAGCAAGAGAACACATATTTAGAAAGGAGAGAAAAAGCTTGCTGTATAGAAATACTGTTGTGTGCAACATTTCAATGTGTTAAGAGTGAAATAAGAGGCTTAGTAAGCACTTACTGAGCACACACTATGTCCCAAGCATTGGGCAGTTAGTTGCTTAGGTGCTCCTGTTTTCACTTGATGCTCACAGTCACTCTTCGAAGTAGGGACCATCATTACCGCTTTCCAGAGGAGAAGCATTGAGGTGTAGAGAGATTAGGAGGAACTGCCCCAAGTCAGCGCTGTAGGGTTCAGGCCTGGGCTTCTATTCTAGCCAGTGATGGACTCCAGAGCCCTGAACACCAGAAGCTCAACTCTACTAAGTATTGTCCACTGAGTGTTACTTTCACAGTTTGCATGCTGTGTTGCCCTGAGGTGGAATGGGAGAAATAAGAAATCAATGTGCCCTGTGGAGCAGTTTGTCTTTTCCTTGTAGTGTAAGTCCCCCCACGTCTGGTGTCCACTCTTTCAGGTGCTTCTACAGGCACTTTGTCCTATAACTCTGTGTGTCACTCTTCATGCAAAGTCTCTGGGGCCCTGTGTGTTGCTCTCCTCCTCTGGCTGCAGGGTTTTAATTTTAAGCTTGATTTAGAAGACCTTCCCCACTCCCAAGTAATTGAAATTTTTTTCCTGTTTTTTCCCACTAGTGCTTCTACAGTTTTATTTGTACTTTTGAATTGTGACAGAATCTGATATTTATTTAAGTCTGTAGGCAAAGCAAGTATTTGATTATTTTTTTCTGCCCTGTTGGAGAACCAGAAGGCTTGTGTTGCCCTCGTGTTCCTCACTTATTTCCCATCTTCGTTCCTATGCCACCCTGTCCTGTTCCTTCTGCTGGATCTGAGTCCAGAGAGTCCCACAGCTCTTGTGGGTTTCCTGACCTGTCGCTATCACCCTCCCACTTCTAGTAGTTGCTGTAAATTTAAAGCCATAATGATGGAAGTTTGGAGGAGGGGAGATATCAGCACACCTCCTCAGCTCAGCAGCTTTGCTAACAAAGTGCTTCTGTCCAGGAGCAGATTTGAGAGACATTTCCCTTTTATCAGGTAGCCTTTGTAACACGTGCACACTTACATGTTGACAGGGTTTGGTTTGGTTTGGGTTGGGTTGGGTTGAACTGATTTTGGTGTTGGGGATCAAACCCAGGGCCTCGGGCATGCTTGCCTTCTACCACTGAGGCACACTTCCCACATCCGTGAACTGTACCTTATGCTCTTGTTGTACAGCAGGGATGATCATGAGTCTCATAAATGGGAGAGAATTTACCAAAGGTCTGCATATAACAGTGGCACAGAATGGCTTTCTCCAAGCCAGACGCTTGTATCTTATATCTTCTTCATCTTGCCGCATGCTCCTAAGATGCTTTATTTTTTGTGCAGTCATTATTTCTTTGTAAAATTACCTACACGTTCATCTTAGCCATTGTAATCCTGAAACTATATGATGACCAGGCCTACTATTAGAGACCTTGAGACAGCGAGGTGATGAGCCATAGAGAGCCTGCATTGGGTGGGATCCATTTTCCTTTAGGGTCGTTTTTCTGAAGTGATCATTAACCATCATTGTGCTTATGGAATGTACCGTTTTGAAAATGAGCCTTCCTGTTCAGCCAGCATCAATGACCATCTGCATCAGGGTCCATATTTCATATGCAATGAGCCTTTTAACATGGAACCTAATTTGTCTGGGTTTCTAAATAACTTTAATTAGAGATGTTTATCCTTTTTAAGTGTGAGGGACATTATTTATTCAGAAATTGTGAGAATTAAGCTGCTTATATTTTATGAAGGATGAGAACTGCAATTACAATAAGCATCTTGAACTCTTAACTGCCAATTTTTAATGAGAATAGTTTTCAGTTTTAGTTCCCTGTAATATGCTAGTGTTAATCTCTTCGTTGTCATTAAAACTATTCTGAGGATGGTGATGCATGCCTATAATCCCAGCTATTCAGGAGACAGAGATCAGGAAGATAGCCAGCCCAGGCAGAAAAGTTAATGAGACTCCTATTTCAACAAACAGGCCAGGCATGGTGGTGTGCATCTGTAATCCCAGGCATATAGGAGACATACGTAGGAGGAATGAGGTGCCAGGCCAGCCCCAGGCAACAAGCACAAGATCCTGCTTGGAAAAAAAGAATAACTAAAACAAACTAGGGCTGGGAATATGGCTCACATGGTAGAGAGCCTGCCTAGCAAGTGTAAGGCCCTGAGTTCAAACTCAGTATTGCCCAAAACAAAGTATTCTTGGGTATTTCCTTGCAGGTTTTGATCTAACAAGTTCTCTTTCTGGGCTTGAGGTGGCAAGTGCATGATGTGGCCTATGTGAGGGAAGAAGCAAGGGTTTGAACGCCACCTTCAGTGTCCACTCTCATCTGCTCTGGCCAGACCAGGCTGAAACTCCTTTCCAGTTTGGGACACTGAGCTTTAAACAGGAATGGTGGTGAGCTGGAGCCATAAGCTGGTCTTAGAAGACATGGGGTGACGAGAGTGGCAAGGTGCAGAATTGGGTGCTTGCTGTGAGCTTGGGCTTCCTTCTGATGTTTCAAGGCCTGTGGGGTAGGAGGGGCCTCATGCCTCTTCGAGGGACTTTGAGACATGTGCCCCGCCAAGGAGAATCCGTGTGTGTGGATTCTGCACCCTCTCCAGAGGGCTCAGGAAGCCCTTGAAGTCCACTGTCCACTGCTTAGACCAGCTGTGTACAGAGGTGTTGATTTGGTGCCCAGAAAGTCCACAACTGTGGGTACCCTACAGTGGTGGAGAGTGGCCTGCCTAGTGTCAGTGTTTTCTTCCCTCAGATACTGCTGCAGTTCAGAGATGAGCAGGATGTCAGGTCACGGGCAGTACCAGACTTGAAAGGGACAGTAAAACCAGGGCTGTTTTTGTCTTTTGATTAAATCATGTGACCAGTGGGAAAGAGGGCAAACTGATAACATGAGCGTGTGTGTTTTCTCCTAGCCACCAACAGCCAAAATGCACGCCATCATTGAGCGCACAGCCAATTTCGTGTGCAAGCAGGGAGCACAGTTTGAAATAATGCTGAAGGCCAAGCAGGCACGAAACTCGCAATTCGACTTCCTGCGCTTCGACCACTACCTCAACCCCTACTACAAGTTCATCCAGAAAGCTATGAAAGAAGGGCGGTACACAGTGCTGGCAGAAAGCAAGAGTGAAGAGAAGAAAAGTATGTGAACCTGTTCTGCCCTGCACAGACTCTGGGGCCGTGGGGTGGCAAGGGTCAGCTCTGGGGCATGTAAACATCCTCGTCCTCAGATGTAGGGTTGAAAGTGAAAAAGTGTGTGCAGTTCTTCTGGTGAGGCTTGATAATTAGCCCTGCTGGGGCACCACATTCAGTTCTTAGTGAAGTAGAATTAAATATCGATGCCATCCAAATGTAAGTGTCTACTTGGGAGACCCCTCTTGTCTTTGGCTGTTCAACATTTCACAGAGAAAGCAAAAGTGCCGTTCTTTGTCTGATTATCTGACCCAGTGTTCAAGCTGTAAGTGAAATTTACATGTCCACAACAGTGAAATGAAAATGGTTCATTGCACTTGGGCTGTCTGTCTGAGTTGGTTTTTTTTTTTAAGTGTCTGTATTTTGAATGATACTCAGGGCCAAGCCTCTCTATCTATGCATGTGTCTTCCACTGAATTTTGTTCTCTTCATCTGAACTCAGGGGTCGCCCACACAGTGCCAGGGATGGAGATTTCTCTTGGTGTTATTTTACTTTTCATATGTCAGTAAGGTTTCTGGGTTTTTTCTTTTTTAATGAAAACAAAAGCTGTTATAGTGCCCCTAAACTAGTAAATGTTAAGAGCAGGCTGTGAAGTGAGTAAAGGTTACGATTCCTTGTCTGGCTTTCCTTGGACAACTTGGATGAGTGTAAGGAATATTCTCAGATACTGGGGACAGATATCAAGAAGTGACCATACGTAGAGCTATCCCCTTATCTGTTTCTGAGTTTTTGCACCAAAAACATACCACCAAAATATTTAATACACCAAAAACATACCACCAAAATATTTTTAATATTTTAATTGTACATGTTTATGGGTTACAAAGTGATAACTTGATCCATGTATTCGGTTATGCCAAAATCTTGAAATGTGATTTTTTTTCTTTCAGAGTCAGGGGCAAACTCTGACAACGAAGACGAGGATGAGGAGGAAGATGGGAGCTACCTGCACCCATCTCTCTTTGCCTCCAAGAAGAGCAGCCGCCTTGAAGAGCTGATGAAGGTCTCTGTCTCATTAGTGAGCTGTGTTTTCATGCCATAACAAAAAGTTTGGAAATACTAAACATGTCATTTCTTGTGTGTTGTGGCTATATCTTATTTTATCATCTTTGAGGTGTTTGTGCATTTTTGTATTTAGGTTGGAGGCAAAGCATTTGCTTCTTTTATTTCCTACAAATCTACAGCATAAAGTTCACAAGCAGATTATTTTTGTTTTGTTAACACTTTTACCCTCTGGGATGCTTAGAATGAGTAGAGTGCTGGTGAAGTCTTCGAAGTAGTTTTGCCATGTAGATTCCTTTGAAGGATTAGGTTCAGAATATCTTTTTTGAAGTCATCTGTTACCTTTCTAAATAAGTGTTTTTACTTCTGACCCTCCCCTCATCCTTACCAAGAAACTTTGGGTTTGTTCACGTTCTCAGTCTGCCATTTGTGATGTGAGAGACAGCTGCGAGATTTTTAGCATGCAGTTCCAGCATGTACAGTGTGTCTGATACCTGGAGGGACTGATGCCTGATTGATTGCAGAATAAAGGGTGTTCATTAGAAATCGGAAATCCTTCTGAGGAAGGACAGATTTCAAGGTCTCTTGAGCTTGGAGATTCACACTTTGATGAGTAGCAGTGTAGCCCTGGCGTTCCTCCCGTCCACTGTTTAGTGGTTGTCACTGGAGACAAAGATCCCATAGTTCCTCTGATGGCCACAGCCATCAGGTCAGAGCCAGTCAGGACCTTTGGTAACAGAGAGAATGCTCTTGAGAAATGGCTTTTGCTCACAAATGTGCAGAAGGTTGCAATCTGGAATATGTGCTCGGGCAGAGGGTGGCAAGTTAAGGGAGGTAAAAGAAGATGGTGGTCTTAAAGGCAGCATGAGGAAGGTTGAGGAGCTGTATTGGAACCATTATCCCTGGCTACAAGGATCAGTAACAAGGAGGCCAGGGCCAAGCAGGAAACTGCTGGGCAGACATCCTCGCAGAGTGCTGTTTGCAAGATGGTAGTTAAGCTGCAGTGTCGTGTGGTCCCTGCCTCCACTCCCTCTGGGCTCCCCTTTGTGACTCCACCTTGGCATTTGCAGCTCTCACAGTGCTGTGCAGACCTCTGCTTGAGGTTCCCAGGCCTGTACACGCACCAAAACATTGAGTCTTTTTGTGACAGGATAGTTTGTGTAATTCAGAACCCAGAAAATACTAAGGCCACATGTCTTCTCTGTCCCTAGCCCTTGAAGGTGGTGGACCCGGATCATCCCCTAGCAGCTCTTGTCCGTAAAGCACAGGCTGACAGCTCTGCTCCCACCCCGCACACCCCAGATGGAGCACCCACACAGCCCTCCCAGGTGGAGTACACGGCAGACTGTGAGTACCCACTGAGCGCGTCCTGACCTGCATCCAGTTTGCAGAGCCCCCACCAAACTAATTCCCTGGGGTAACAGCATGGAGCTAGGCAAACCAGACCTCACCTGGAGGTCATCCGTTTGCTTGACCTGTGGCCAGTATTAGCTAATTGTCCTGGTGTTAGTTCTGCATTCCAGGAAGGAAGAGCAGGAGCAATGGTAGGAAACAGGTGCCAGCTCTACCTGCACCTCTTAGTGGCCTTCCAAGAAGCCACATCTTGGCTTCCTTTAACTCATCATTGACTAGAGAGTGTCATGAGGTCTTCCTGCCTGTAGTAAAGGCTGGAAGAAATGGGGCCTGCAGTTGGGCATATTGCTGCCCTAAACAAAGACAAAGTCATGTTAAGAAGAATGGGAAGAGCCAGGGACAGTGGCTAACACCTGTAATCCTAGCTACTTAGGAGTCTGAGATTGGGAGGATCAAGGCCAGCCTGGCAGAAAGTTTGCAAGACCTCACCTCAACCAATGGCTGGGTGTAGTGATATACATCTGTCATCCCAGTTACTTGGGGAAGCACAAACAGGAGAATCTTGATTCAGACAATCCCAGACATAAAGCGAGACCCTATCTCAAAAATAACTAACACCACCCGGGTGCCGGTGACAAACCTGTAATCCTAGCTACTCGGGAGGCAGCGATTAGGAAGATCATGGTTCAAAGCCAGCCTGGGCAAATAGTTTGCAAGACCCTATCAGAAAAAAACCCACCACAATAAAAGGGCTGGTTGAGTGGCTTAAGGTGTAGGCCCTGAGTTCAAACCCCAGTACCACAAAATACATACATACATAAATAGTAATACAAAAAGGGCTGGCAGAGTGGCTCAGTGATAGAGTTCCTGTCTAGCAAGTCCAAGGCCCTCAGTTCTACCCTAGTACCAAAAAAAAAAGAATGGCGAGGACAGATTAAGAAGAGCAGGGAGCTGCGTGTGGTGGCTCACACCTGTAATCCTAGCTACTTCTGAGGTCGATATCAGGAGGATCGATGGTTCAAAGCCAGCCTGGGCAAATAGTTGGAGAGACCTCATCTCCAAAATGGACTAGAGGTGTGGCTTATGTGGTTGAGTGCCTGCTTGCAAGCAGGAAGCCCTGAGTTAAAACCCCTGTCCCACCAAAAAAAAGCAGGGAGAACAGATGATGGGTAGGCACAGATTGCACAGGATTGTCTCCATAATTTATTTCTGTAAAGAGACACAAGCACATGGCAGCATGTACAGTTGTTCCTTGGTGTGCATTTAGAGCTGGGTTTCAGGACCCACAGCAGATATCAAACTTATGGATGCACAAGTAAGTCCCTTCTTCCCAGAGAGTTCAAAATTATCCCTAGAGGACTTAATGCTTCCTGTAATCTGGTGTGAGTAGTTGTTACACTGTGCAAAGGAACAGTGGCAAGGGTGAAGAGTTGTGCACATGCTGAGTACAAACACAGTGTTTCCCTGAATATTTTCAACCCAAGGCTGGTTGAAGTGTGAATGTTGAGCCTGGAGACACAGAGCCAACTGGAGTGTGCACCGCAGAGTTGCATCTCTTTCCAGTTCTTCTTCATTAGCCAGAGTCGCTGACTAAAGGCAAACCTTTTTTTTTTGGTTGCGGTACTTGAACTCAGGGCCTGTAGCTTGAGCCACTCCACCAGCCCTTTTTTGTGATGGGTTTTTTTGAGATAGGTTCTCATGAACTATTTGCCCTGGCTGGCTTTGAACCTCAATACTCCTAATCTGTGCTTCCTGAATAGCCAGGATTACAGGTGTGATCCACCAGCACCTAGTTGAAGGTAAATCTTGAAGTTCTGTTCAAGCAATCATTTTGACAGTGTCTGACTTAGTCTCGGCATTGGGTCTTCTAGCCTGTTCCAAGGTGAAGTGTTACAAAAGTGAAGAGCCTGTAGCCATGCAGGGTTGGTCTTTGGTGCTTCACTACAGACTGGGATGCTGAGTCCTTCCATGTTGGGAGCATGCCTTGGGGCCCTGTGCTAAAAAGGAAGCTTCTGTTTGAGCCAACTCTCAGTGTACTTGATGGTTGTTCTTGGCACTTCCCTCTAAGCACTGGCACACAAGATAAGTCATTTCATGTGCTAAGTTCACATTCTCAGATTGTAAAAATCATTTACATGAGTGAACTTTTTGCATGTGTCCACAGATATACTCCAAGTTAAGGACTTAAATAATTTCTGCAAATGATACAATCAAGCCAAATCCAATTCTCAAGAGTTCCAATCAGAGACCTGTGTTGCAGAGTTGCATTTTACATTAAGTTCTGTGGTTAGCTCCTGGAGTCAGCATCACACAAGCTACTGTCCTCGTGGCTTTGTGGAGATCCCTTCTAGTGCCCAGTCCTCACAGCGTGCACTTGTGGATAGACAACCAGGCCCCATGCAAAGCTCATGAGTGATGGAGTCAGTGGTGATAGGAGTCTCTGTGCGTCTTCTGCTCAGTCTGGTTGCACACCCCAGAGGGGATCCTGCTGTCCCCTCCATCTTGCTTAGCTCCTGTTTTCCTGTGTCGATCCTGTCTTGAACTTGCTTAAGTCAGATGCAGTGTCCATGAATATCCACTGGCCCCCTACAGCCATTGCACTGCTGCAAAAGAGAGCCACAGAAATTCAGGTATGAGGGCCCAGGGAATAGCTCTGGCTGTCACTAGTGGACACTCAGCTAAACACAGGTCAGTCATGGTTCATAGTGTTCATAGATCCAGCTGAGAGTGGCCACTCTGACATGGCATCCCTGTCTGGTAGGGACAATGGACAGATTTGAGACAGCCCTTGGCAGGGCTTCCAGGGCCCAAGATGAGCTATAGCAGCATCTGGTTGTGCAGCTTTGCTCAGCCTGAGGGCTGGCCCTACTCCTACCTCCCCTGACACAGTGGGGGCATCCCTTCTTTACACAGTATGAGTGACAGACATGTGGACAATAGGGCATTTTGTGTGTCTGGACTTTGTGAGAGAAAGTGAACCTGACATGAGGTTTGTAAGTTTCAGACAACATGCTCCTGCTTCACCCCAACGGTCAGAGCCCCAAGCCAGCACCAAGAGCCCATCTGAGAGCCACAACCTGCAGGGTTGCCCCGACAACTGCCTGTAAGGCTCAGGGCTGTCATAAAGTGGGACAGGACTCCAGCTTCCCAGAATCTCAATAAAACCTTACAGAAATAAGTCACCTGTGTCAGGGTTGAGAGTCAGTTGTCCTTTTATGGTCTCACACCAATGTAAAAGTCACAGTGTCCCTGCAGCACAGCTGCTGCAGACAGAAGCAGCCTTGGTATAGCCAGACCCACCTACTCCTCTTCCTGACTCATGCCCTTACCTTCCTTTTCTAAGTTTCTGCACTGGCTTCTCCCCTGTCTTCTGCCTGCCTTGTGGTTCTGTGAGCTGATGCATTACTTCATCCCAGTGCCCAACTGGCATTGTCGTTGCCTTCCTGGCTTTGCAGTGAAGCAGCCAAGGAGTCCAAGGTTGTCTTTGGCAGGTTGTTGGCCAGTGGCAGTGGCCACAACCATGTCTTTCCCCAAATTAGTTATACTTGGGGACTGCCTGTACTCAAACTGCTGTGTGGTCACTGGTAAATAGTCGTTGATAAAGCGCTTATTCACCAGTGCAGTTCAGCAGAGGAACACCAGGCATGGCTGTTTTATTCACCAGGCTGCATGAGTGCTGACAGTGACAGCTCAGCTGTGTCTAAAAGCCTAGTCGGGACTGTGCAGAGTCCTCCCTGGACTTGGACTGGCTCTGAGGAGCAGCATTGTGGTTCATTTTTTTCCCCAGGAGTACTTCTCTTCATTTTTCCAGATTTTCACAAGTATGCATTGCTGTTGCACGTTCAGAGGTTTGTAGGCTTGTTCAAAACTCACTGGTCACACCAGTGAGAACAACAGCCTGTTACTTAATCCCAGTGCTGAGTTCCTTCTCTCTTTCTGTTGAGAGGGGCACGGTGACACTTGGAGGGTCAGTGTACTGTGTAACTTAACCATCATCATTTGAGGACCTTGCTCCTATCCTAAGTGAGTGTCTACCAAACCTGATTGCTCAGCTGATGGGGGACACCGCAGCAGAAGCAGGAAGTGCCCAGGGCTTTGGTGTCATCCCATGGATCGAGAACTCGCACACAGCACGTGCATCTGTTTTCTTCTGTGCTCTAGGACACCAAGACTAGATGGTGGCTGGGTGTAACTCAAGTGCAGAGCCATGCCCACAACCTGGATTAGTGTTTTTGCCCCATGACTTTGTAAAATTCTCATGAAGAGAAGAATGAACTTGTCTAACTGACCAAGACCTAACCCAAGAGGAATTTAAAATGAATGTGAAAGGGGAATGAGAGGACTACTGCAATTAGAAAGAGGCCAAGGGGTCAGAGCAATTTTGGTCACCTCGTGTGTCCATCCTGTACCTACTAAGCTTGTCCATGTGTGTCTAGTGTTCTGTTGGCCAGAGTGCCCCCTTGTCTCCTCCACACTCTTAAGAATGTATTCTCGGAGTATTTACCAGTGAATAACTTCTGGAAAGTAAAGAACAAAATCCCAGAAGCACAGTGGGTACCTTGGGGTCCACTGGCATGTGAGATGGGCTACTACCCTCATATATTTACCACATATACCCTTGTGCACACACCCTAGAGAACAGGAGCTTATTGCTGGAGCCCATGTCAGCTGTCACTGACACATAGTGGGGCAACCTAGGCATTGAGGGCCTGCAGCCAGAGGCAGGCATGCCCAGAGGGGAGCAAGCAAGCATGCTATTGTATCTCGCCTGGAACAGTGAGCTGGCACCACTGATGCACTGGGACCATTGCAGCTTGAGCTGTACAGGAACCAAAGGAGTCTCTCATGGCTGGAAGCACTAACAATTCAGATGTTCAGGTTTTGGGGAAAAGAGAAACTGACAAACAGAAAAGAATGAGCCCATAACCTCACCGTGCAGGGACAGGCATTGCAGTACCAGACAGCACCACACCGGCCCTGGGAGGGCACTTTCT